GATTATGTTTTGTTTTCAAACCACAGAGGGGCTCTTCCTCATGAGCAGCGTGCGCAGTCGGGGCGTAGCCCGCGATTTTTGATTAATTTAGTTTGTCTCACGATATGCTATGTTTTTATAATAACTATGAGCTCATGCTCATGAGGAAGAACCCCTCTGTGGTTCGAAACTAGTAGAGCTTTTCTCAGTATATTCACGTGAGTAACCCGCGTTTTTACTTAATTGTCTCACGATAGTTATTATAAAAATAATAAAGAAATAGAGCCTGGCATTTTGCTCGGAATATGGCACCAGCCTCACTGAAAACTGAAACATTATATTTTTACATAACATAGAGGCATTGTGCGCCCATGACATAGGTAGATCTTATAAGTAAAGTCAACAGACTCAAATTGAAGTTTGCAAACACCGACGTATCTAGTCTTATGGTGAAGGTAACCGGTTCGAATCTGGTACGGCTTGCGAACCACTTTCCTCTCAAACCGGCGTTGTAATAACTAAGTCATTGGGGCTATAGGTATTCGCAATATCATAATATTAATAATGTAATAATCGCATGACTTTTTAGCTGTCAGGGTGGACATTTGTCTCTATAAGTGATTGGCCGAATGGTCGCAACTGTCGAGTAAGTAAGTGAAACAAGTGAAACAAGTGAATTTATTTCTGCAAATAGGCTACAAGGCAGCACTTTTACACGTCAATTTTATCAAGCGAACGATGAGGTCGACATTTCCTAACTGACTACTCTGAGAAGAAATGTCGAAACAAACTCAGAGGTCTGTCTCTTTTAAAGTCCAGACAATATATATTATATATAACAGATTATGTGTGAGAACCGTGCCAGTTCTTTCTGTAGTGGGCTTCTGGGTTATATTTCTCAGTTGCAAGTTTCGGGACGCAAAGCGTTTTTAGCTTGGTACTTAAAATCACTCTATCTTTAATATAATGTGACTAAACCCTGAAGCTACGGACAACTTTACGGATTACTGAAGCTCTAGTTCGAGCCTGAGTTTCACCTCATCCAAGGCTAGGAATTTGGAGATACATCATTGGATAAAGTTCCTTTTATAAAATAACTAGCGACCCGCCCCGGCTTCGCACGGGTGCAATATGTATATACATACAAACCTTCCTTAAGAATCACTCTATCTTTTAAAAAAAACCGCATCAAAATCCGTTGCGTAGTTTTAAAGATCTAAGCATACATACGGACATACAGCGAAAGCAACTTTGTTTTATACTATGTATTGATGGTCAAATAAAAGGCACAAAGGTAGATTGTATTCTGGAATAACAAATGGCAGATGGCAGAAGTTGTCAGAATCTAAACTTTTTTTTTCACTTGTCTCTTGAGCCGCGGAGAACCTAACGGGTTACTGGGACTCCTGCTCGACGTGCAGGAGTAGGAACGGAGTGTTTTTTAGTCAGTAAGAGTCTGACACTCCCTCCCGCCTCACTCAGACGGGAGAAGTAAATCGATGATTTTCCCCCCTTAAAAAAATATTTATCTCTTCGAGAAGTAAAAATCATGTTATCAAGTACACGTGGCTAACTAACAAACATTTTCGAATATGACCGTTACTGAGAAATCTATTTACCTTCTAAATTTAATAGAGCGTGAAGCTATATTGTTATGTCCAATCGTATAGCTTGACTGTACAATCATGGTGGTATCTTTATGGAATTTGTCATGGTCTTTTGAGTAATGGTGTTATATGTGTGGTTGGAGTTGGAATGATGGTTGTAGGTAGGGAAGTACCCATCAATGATGTTCGCGGTTTGATTCTTAAGTAGACATTATTATTCATTTATGTACAATACTTTTCTACGATTTTATTATATGTATAGATTGACTGCCTCGTTGGCCGAGTGGTCGCAAGTGCGACTGCCGGGCAAGAGGTCTCGGGTTTGATTCCCGGGTCGGGCAAAGTAATACTGAGTTTTTTAATAAAATCTCAGTAATAGTACGGAGTCTGGAATTGTGCATGGCAATGGCCGGTATATGGCAATAGGCTCACCCCCTATTACATGGGAGTCATAACATAAATAGTGATAAGTGGGTGTTACATTGTACAGTGGCATAATGTGCACCTCTGCTACCCCTTCGGGGATAAAAGGCGTGGTGTTATATTTTTTATGTTATTTATAGATGCCGCCTCAAAATATATTTTCTCACCTTTTAAACCTCCCCTGGACTTCCACGAACATTTTAAGACCAAAATTAGACGAATCTAAGCCGTTCCCGAGTTTCAGTGAGACAAATGAATGAACAGCAATAGGATAGAAGACTAATTTTTATTTTAATGTCCGTCTCACTGATTATTTAAAAATATTAGACACGTATTTTTTATTTTCTTACGTAAACGAACAGTTTTAAAGATTGATTAGAAATATCGCACGCATGACGTCACTTTTGAGTACGATAAATCGTACTCAAAAGTACGTACTCTAACGGCCATTTTCTATAACCTATAGGTATATCTGTAGATTTGCTTACTGAGATAGAATTTTGAGATAATCTCCATACAAGATGTATCAGAATTCTATCTCAGTAATGTTGGAATACTGAAACGTTACTCAATTTTAAGTCATGCTTAAATATCGTGCCATCTTTGTCATTTTACAAAGAATTTGTAGTGACAGAACTACAGTTAAGCACGACTTAAAGTTGAGTAACGTTTTAGTATCCCGACATAAGCAAATCTACAGCTAGATAGGATGTAAAAAATGGCCGTTAAATGACGTAGCTACCTCCCACCCCTAAACTTTGATTCGTTTTATCTTAGTATTGTTTTCTTATACGACAAAATAAAAAAATACGTGTCTAATATTTTTTCATTACCTAACTGACGAACTAATTAAATTTTTAATTTTCATACCCTGTCATCATCCCTATTGATTTTTATAATTATATTTAAAAATTTATTATTGACTAGCTTCTGCCAGCGACTTCGCCCGCGTTCGCGTGGAATAAAAAGTGGCCTATGTGTTATTCCAGATCATAATCTATCCCTGTTTCAAATTTCATCCCAATACCTTCAGCCGTTTTGACGTGAAAGAGTACCAAACACACACATACAACCTCACACACTTTCGTATTATATTATTAAGTAGGATTTAAACACAGAAAAGTCAACAGCTTGTTTAGTAAACAGAACAATGTACATCCTTACTATCCTTATCCTTACTAATATTATAAATCGGAAAGTGAGTTTGTTTGTTTGTTTGTTTGTTCCGCTTTCACGCCGTAACGACTAAACCGATTGCTTTGAATTTTTGCAGACGTAAACTTAGAAGTCCGGATTAAATAATAGGTACTTTTAATCCCGGAAAAATTTGATATTCCCGAGGGAAAACAAAAGTATTGGTATAGATGGCGCTGTGTGTATTGGTATGTCACATAGGCTACTTTTTATCCTTTTGTGACGCGAGCGAAGCCGCGGGTAAAAGCTAGTTTATAATAAATTATTATGCTTTCGGCTTACTCACGTAATTATTTGACGAGGAACTTGACTAGTTGAGTAGCAGCGCGACAGTCGCCGTGTCGCAGGTCGCGAAATGCTGCTCATGAATAATATGAGCCTCTAGCATGGCTTGAAACTAGTCGAGTTCTTCGTCAAATTATTACGTGAGGAAGTCGAAAACATAATAATTTATTTAGTAGGTATGTCTCACGAAATGTATAATAATAACAAAATACGGAATCCTTAAGCTTTTCAGCATTCGTTAATAAACAGAGGAGACTGGACCACATAAAATAAAAATAAATGAAGGAATATTTACATGGCTAGACTGAAGCTACATCAGTCATTGTTCCGCCATTTCTCACGGAATGGCGCAGTGGTGATTGGTGTTTTTTTCATTGTTTTTATTTTTGTTAGTTTTAGTATCACTAAGACTAGTCTATAAGAACATTGTTACTAATAATTTGAATACAATGGTCTGAAATAAATGATTCATTATTATTCCCTTTTTTCATTATTATTATTTTTACATACGTAGATATATTTATTTAAAATTCTCTATAAATTACATTTTTAAATACTATTGTACCTATTAATCAATTAACAAAAAGTAATATAAATCTCAGGAGGCTGCCGTTAGGTGGATCGATCAAGGGCCTGGAACAGAAGGCAGTTCCTAGCTACGGCACGTATCGTGAGGAGGTTTTTGACTCTGGAGTCCTAACCACCGGTAGCTTTGGACCATGCTTCCGCTTCTGGTCGGCTCCTATTTTTATATTTATAAATTTTATTATTATGTGTGTCTTTACCATTCACGGGACCACAGGGTCCCGGTCATTTGGGAGGCGTACGATAGCCGAAGCCAACTGCACAGAGGCCCTTTATACAACTTAAATCTAGAAATGTAATGGACACACAAACCGGCGACTATCCCTGTATGCACTATGGAAATGCACCCAAGGACAGTCCTCGGTAAGTCTAGAACTATTGTGGATAATGGAAAAAGGCAGAGCTATGGATGGGTTACTGTGAACCGGTAAATTGGGTACTATGGATGACTACGGCACCTGCCGAAACAATGTTATTATTACAGCAGTAAATGAAAATAGTACTTGATGGTCAGAGACATATATGCAGCAGTGTAGATAAGCATTAAATAAAAGACAGGATTTCTTAACATTTCTACGGTAATATTATGACAAAATGCATACAAAAGACTGCCTCGTTGGCCGAGTGGTCGCAAGTGCGACTGCCGGGCAAGGGGTTTTGTGTTCGATTCCCGGGTCGGACAAAATATTACTAGGTTTTAAAAAAATCTTAATAGTAGCATGGAGTCTGGAATTGTGCCCGGTATATGGCAATAAGCTCACCCCCTATTACATGGGACTCATAACATAAATAGTGAAAAGTGGGTGTTACATTGTACAGTGCCGTAATGTGCACCTCTACCCCTTCGGGGATAAAAGGCGTGATATTATGTTATGCATACAAAATTGTAGAGAAAAAACCTAATAACCATTTTTCATAAATTTCCAGGCCGCACCTTCGGTCGTCCGCTCAAGAAGATGATGCAGGCTCTCATCCCACTGGCGTTCCAGATCGGAGCTGCATCCACCTGGGCCGTGGTGGCCGCTCTAGTAGGCGTCAAGACGTTGCTGGTGGCGCTGGCTATATTAAAGCTGTTGCTTATTGCTGGTGCTGCGAAGGTAGTTTGAATGATATACCTAATTATTTTAAACTGTCAAACACCAAGTGGATACCGGTGACCTCAACCTATTGTTCTATAATTGTGTCTATAATGACGGTACTCAACGAGTTAAGAACAGCTTGTAAACAAGAGAGGTTATAGGTATGCCATTATCTCGGAGATTGGAGATCGCAGTATAAAAAGATCAGAGGTCTTCGTATGACTTTGTTTTACACAACATAACATCACGCCTTTTATCCCCGAAGGGGTTGGCAGAAGTGCACAATATAACACTCACTTTTCACTATAAATGTTATGAGTCCCATGTAATAGGGGGTGACCCTATTGCCATATACCGGACACAATTCCAGACTCCGTGCTATGAGTGAGATTTTTTTTTAAACCCAGTAATACTTTGCTCGACTCAGGAATCGTACCCGAGACCCCTTGCCAGGCAGTTGCACTTGCGACTATTCGGCCAACGAGGCAGTAAACTCCATTGCCACAAATGCTAAAAAGACCGAACGAACTATCTGCGGCCTACAATATCATCATTTAATTTTCTAGACCGGTTCCTAGACAATTTCTAATCAAAATGCCTATGAGATTATAGCAAGTGGCACACATCAATATTATTGACCTACAAACTAAGGTCATTAACATAATATGCGCATTTCGCTTCATACGTCCGTATACGCATGATCTGATGAGGGCGTGGTAGACTAGGCAAATGTGTCGCGGAGAACCTAACGGGTAACCGGGGCTCCGGCTCGACGTGCAGGAGAAGGAACGGGGTGGTTTTTAGTCAGTAAGAGACTGACACTCCCT